ACTCTAAAGTGCAATGCTGAGTATATCACTTTTCTTCTAAAAGATAACTAAAAATAAACAGCAACCCTTCAATAGCCATTGAATAGACTCCACCCTCAGGTAGAGTCCAAATTTCTTAATGTGGCCTAAGGACTGTTCCCCTACGCAAAGCTTTCATCTCTGGCCATACTGAACCAATTGCAGTTCTCCAGATAAATCATGCCCCCACCCCCCCCAAGGCCACTGAACTCCACGTCTCACTCAGGTGACCTCTAGAAAGACTTCTTGGGCCCTGGTGGGCACCACTCCCATGTACCCTTCCTCAATCCTATCACAGCATCTGTCAAAGTACTCATGGCTTCATTTCTTGGGCCTCCACCCCTGGGTCTGTAAATGCCTTGAGGAGCAGGATTAAGCCTCACTGGTTTATAACACCCAACAATGCGCCTGCCACAATGTAAGTATTGAATACATGTATGTTAAAGATTAACATGAATCAATTCTTCTGTTTGGGGCAATGGGAACTATGGAAAAGTGAAGCCAGAAACTGAAGGTCATTGTGTGATTTGCACAATTATGCAATGTGGACACTCAGCAGTGGTTAGGAAACCATAAAACCTGGAGGTATGCAAGGATGGAAAACCTGGAGCTAGAGGGTCATGCAAGGACTCTCAGCTGCACAATAGAAAAACAAAAGGAAGCATTCAAATCAATTATAAAAGTCTGCTTATGATGCTAAACAATGTGAACATTAAGTATATTTTGCCTTAAAACCACTTTATATGAAGAAATTAGACCAAAAAAAATCACAATTGTAAAAGCTATTACATTTCTCCATGGTCCCTTCCAATTTTTATCTGTTTATCTATCTATATATTTTTAAACTAGCTATAATAAGAACATACATATGAATGTCAAGGCGGGGCGGGGGGAAGGAGACATATGTAATACTCTTTGTAATACTTTAAGCAATAAAACAAAATTTAAAAAAAAAAAGAACATACATATATTGCCAAATCAGTGTTATTCTGTGTAGTTTTCCCAAGTGGCTACACAGTCTTCATACACATAATTTTAATGACTGAGTAAATGCCATGAAGCAAATACATTATAATTTTCTTAATCATATTTAGGTAGTTTCTAAGTTGTATTAGTTTAAATAATGTTTGTAACAGACACATAAAACAAATAGACGAGATATCGCTTTTTAAGAAAATTAGAACAGAATTAATTTTTTTCCTTCATTTTAGAGGATTATTTCAGTACCCGAAAGAACCTGGAAAGAATGCATGGCAGGGACATTGTCCACATGAGCGATATTTAAAACCATGGCTAGTGTCGTTATGAAAAAAAGGGCGTACAAATCAAAACACACGCCTGGTATACAAAGAGGAATGAGCATGTGGTGATAGAGAAGAACCGAGAAAGGAAGAGATGCTGCTGAAATAAAGATAAACAGGAATCTACACAGGCCAGGTGAAAACGCAAGACAGACATGAGAAAAGCAATTGTAGAGTTACTCTTGGTTCTCAGACGGTTAACTAAGACTCTATACCAGGGGTGGGCAAACTTTTTGACTCGAGGGCCACAATGGGTTCTTAAACTGGACCGGAGGGCCGGAACAAAAGCATGGATGGAGTTTGTGTGAACTAATATAAATTCAAAGTAAACATCATTACATAAAAGGGTACGGTCTTTTTTTTTTTTAGTTTTATTCATTTCAAATGGGCCGGATCCGGCCCGCGGGCCGTAGTTTGCCCACGGCTGCGTCTATACCCTTCAGCTGTCCCTGTTCAGAAACGGGATATCACAGCGGTGAGTGGACCATCTCGGTATCTGAGGGCACAGCCGCTTTTCCAGGAAGGTGGCTAGGCGCCCGATTTTAACCTGAAAGCCATGACTGCCTGCAGAGGATTTTCACTTTCCCCAATAGCTGGGGGACTAGAAGGAAGAGGAGGAGAAACAAACAAGGGGAGAAGTGGCTATCAGGGCAGAACGTCTATGAGGGACATTTGGGGAGCATATCTGAAGGAATAGAATCTATGTCCATGACGAGCGGTCACTCAATAATACTCCTTCCTCACCCCTAGCTCTGGCCTTGCAGTGACAGCTGACTTCAGCCAACAGCCTGATTCCTTCTTCGGTAAGTTTCTTATAATTAAAATTTGATTCAGCCCTCATGTAAATATTATTTCTCACACAACTGTCATCTTCTATCATTCTTCTGCTAACCTCAACAATTTTCCCATTCCACTGCTACTGTCAACGGGTAATAAAATCCTCCTAGATATCTTAATTAATATGCTGTTTTCTTTCTCTCCTGCCCTAGTAGCAGGGACCCTGTGCCAGTGGAGGGCAATGGGATCTGGTCTCCCTGCAAACACACAGATGGGTCTCAAGTCAGTGCAGCCCTATTTCTGTTTGTCATTTGTTTTACCAAAACAATTTACAACAATATTTATATATCCTCTAAGAAGCCAGATTACTGTTAAGCCTTGAATTCGGCAGAGCTTAAAAATAAGGAGAAGGAAAAAATGGTCAACAAGTCATATTTCACTGTTAAAAAGACTATCTATCTCATGTGCCCTCCCCACGCCTCTTCCATGCCTCATTCAATACCCTACAGAGACCCTTTAAGAACACAGTCTGTGCTTTCAGCAATAACTGACATCCCTGTAAATCTATGTAATGTTCAAAAAGTAAATCCAGTGCTTTCTGCTGCCCATATAGCAACATTAATCTTATGAGCAGCACTACAGAGCACCTTCCTCCCCCCTGCTCCCTCCCTCCATCTGCTCTAAGTAGGGCAAGTATTTTACTCATGTTAATTGTTCTGACAGATGAGGATCAACACTGCTTTAATCCATTTGCAGCCTAGCACTGGGAACATTTGTCTTCTCAAATGCTGTTAGAGGCAAGTACACTGGCTGCTGGTAACACGAGAGCTACTTCAGGCAAGGCTGGGTGCTCCTGCGTGACTGGCTTTACTTTCCTTGTAGGGAAAATCCAAGGGAAATTCTTCCCAAAACTAGTTCAAGGTTGTTTGGTTCCCATTGTGGTTGAGTTTTGATCCTTTTAAAAACAGTAGGTAGCAGGATTTCATTAAATTGAGACAAACTGAATTGATGTCTATTGATTTCTTTTAAAATGTTAGTATCTTCCCCTTTACCAATTTATCATATACAAGTATCTACAAGGCAAAAGGATACAAGTGAATTCAGTAGGACTTTGCTACAAAATTCAACAACCCAATTAGCAACCGTGTGCATTTTGCAAGGATATGCCACCTCTTTATGACTCACACTGGAGAGCCGAGGCCTGCCAGTGTTGACAAGAGCATAGGCGCACCTGGGTTCAGATCCCAGCTCCACCAGTGAACGCCATGCCCAGCTACCATAGGTACTGCGAGGATCAAATGATTTAGCACATTTAACACCCAGCCCAATATTGTCCCTAGCCAAGGGCTTTGGGTGTGATTCACTTAAGCTATGCTTAAGCATACATAAATCTTGGTTCTGAATTACCTGAAAAAGTAGCTTCACATGATGTGTGAAACATTCCCTAGCTATTTCTACTCACACCCAAGAAGTGTAGTCAAAGGCGACTTTTACAGAGAATGGAGACAGTGGCCTGACACCCCTTCCCTGTGTTAGGAGAGATGGGGCTCATCACACTGTCCTCCCGGCACTATTTCTTCACAAGCTTCTGCTCATCCCCAACCTGTTTTGTTTTTTTTTTAATATATTTTATTGATTTTTTACAGAGAGGAAGGGAGAGGGATAGAGAGTTAGAAACATCGATGAGAGAGAAACATCGATCAGCTGCCTCCTGCACACTCCCTACTGGGGATGTGCCCACAACCAAGGTACATACCCTTGACCGGAATCGAACCTGGGACCCTTGAGTCCACAGGCCGACGCTCTATCCGCTGAGCCAAACCGGTTAGGGCCCCAACCTGTTTTTGAATTTGCCATTTTCTCTTTCCTAATGCCTCTGTCTCTGGTCTTCTCTCTATTTCCTCTTTAATTCCATCCTGTTTCCCATACTTTCAATTTAATAACCTTATACATTTTAAGTGTTCAGTACAGGGCTGCCAGCTCAGAAATTTAATGAAGACAAATAAATATGGTTTGATTCAGATTCATGGAATATGTTGCATAGAGAACCTACTTGCAGAGCACACTCGTTGCCCCCTCACAGGCAGGAGTAGCGATTTCCTCCTCCTCACCCTTTTGCTTTCAACCCTGTTCAGGCTACAGGGAGGAGATGAGAGTAAATAGACAAGAGAATATTCTCGTTTGCAGCTCTGTCTTCTTCAACTTTCAGGTAAGGGTGTGGCCCACAATCAGCTGCTTAACAAAAATTACTATACCTGACATGAGAAATGCTTATTCTGCCAGTCCTTCTTGCCCCAAACGAGTATACATTCCCACATATGTTAGGATTTCAGCAGTGTAACAAAGATCATTCTTTTATCTATACAAGAGAAAATAGTAAATCATTAATGGTCAAACATATCTGGATGTGAGAGTTTAGGTAATTTTGGTTTTAGTATTTTTCTGACTTTCTATATTTTACACGATGGGTACGAATTACTTTTCTAATCGGGAAAAAGTGTAATTATGTAAAGTCATTTATGTTCTGTCTATCCCGCATTCAGCAGCCTACTTTGCCCGCCATCATTACCCGTTTACAATTTGATCTGAAGTGATCCTGAGTAGCCACCTCTAATTTTGAAGAGCCAAGCGTCCACTTGCCAAATTGATTACATTCGTGTAGCAGTGCCCTGAAAACCAGCATGCATTCTTCTAAGCTCCAAGTTTTACACTGAGACCAATGAATATCTCTATGAACTGATGACACCATTAAAGACAACCTAGTTTAAACCATCCAAGACAGACGATCTAGACCAGCAGTCACCACCTTTCGGACCTCATGGACCACCAGTTGGCAACTGCTGCTCCAAAAGTTTCCTTAAACCAATGGTCGCCAACCTTTGGACCTCACGGACCACCAGTGGTCCATGGACCACCGGTTGGGGACCACTGATCTAGACAGTGGCCGAATTTAGAGAATTCCTGACGATAGATTTTGATGGAAAACTTTGATTTCCAAGAAGCAGTTTTCCTGAGCTGCTGCTAACAGAATATGCTGGATGCACACAGGCCTCTCTAGGACCATGCTAGGCACATTTCTGACCAGCCCTATTTGTCGGAATACCAAGACCTGTCCTGAAACATCTGCATAAGAATTTACAAATGGATTCTGATAAGTTATACTTTTATTTGGACTAGAAAGAAATTTAGCTTGGCTGTTCTCTTGTTTTTAATTGTTGAAGTCAATATTTAAGAAAATAAAAGACAACACACATGAACTCCAAAGACAAAACTGGTAACATTGAACAAAAGTACTTGCGTCTGTAACTATGACAGGGAATGTGAACGAGAGAAAACGCACAGTGGCCTTCGCCATATCCTGACTGTGCACTGTCATAGGAAGAGTGGGTCAAATCTGACTTTGTTCTCTGGGCCTCAGACACAGAATGGGAATAACACCTCCTCATTCCCCAAGGATTCAAAGAAAGGAAGTGTATGAATGAATGGAAATAGTGACAAAGTTGACAAAAATATAAGGTGTTAGGGTTACAGCATTAACCTCAAAAGGCAAACCTCAAACCAAAATGAGTATCATCCAACCGGAGAGTTCCCTTCTTCACATGTAAAAGCCAGAGCTGCAAAGCCAAAATCACATTAAAAAAAAAAAAAAAGACAAACGAGCTCCTGGCCACTGTGCTAAGACTGGTTATGTGACTGCAGTCCCACCACAGACTCTGAGCTCCGCCAGGTCCTGGTGCTTACACCAGTCACCAGGCAGGGAGGGTGTGTTCCCTGTCAGCTGTGGCTCATCTGTTCTTTCCTAACCACTGGCCAGAGGCCCTGCTGCAGGTACGAGGCAGGGACACACTGTATTCCATGTCAGCTCACTGGATCCTGCTGGACATGCCCTTGTGTGTTTACAAGATAACAGCCTCTTTTGCTCTGGGCTTACTCCTTACCTGTCAATTTAGTTTCTACACTGGGGGAGATCCCCTCAGCTGAAATGCTTTTAAGGAGGTTTTTATAGGAGAGAAGGGAATACGCTCCTTGCCCACATTATGCAGTCTCTTCATTCCGTTAGCATTTACTGGAAGGCTTATGTGACAGGTGCTCTCTCCTGCCTTCCATAGCTTCACAACGTGCTTCCATTAGAGCACTCCAGCCAGACCAGGGATAGAGTGCAGTTAATTGGGCCCACATCATTTCTGCTAACTAGATGGGGAGCGATTCATTCAAGACACACATACTGGGGAACCTGCTGGATGTCAGGCATTCTGTTAGGCGTGGAAGTAAAAGACTAATAAGACACCCTCCAGCTTCAAAAGGTAAGAGCTCAAAAAGCTATGTGGAGACACTCACATGAAAATTTAAAGCACTTGATACCTCCTTTCACCATCTAACACAGATCATAGTGAGTTTTCTACGCACATGCCAGTCTCCATAGTGATGGTGAGCACCTCGATTGACCTATTTCCAGTTCCTAGGACAATGCCTGGCACAGAGTTGGCACCCCTGGTGTGTTTATACAACGAGGAGTTGACAAGGCAGATAACAGAAAGGTGTTCACCCAGTAACCGTGCTGTTACGGGAAGCTTGAGAAGGCCCACAGTGCCAGCCCCAATCATGTGGCCTGAGAGCACAGGAGAGCTCCAGGCAGGTCCCACCTGAGTGACTTAGGAAGATTTTATCGGAGAGGGGGCATTTGGGCTAAGCCTAGGGGTAGAATTTCAACAGGCAGGGAGGCTAAGAGATGAGGGGAAGGGGTCCAGGTGGACAGAACAGGTTATGTAACAGCACGATGTGGCTTACACTAGGTGTACCGCTGCCAGAAGACAGCCCCATGCTGGGCTCTGATGGCTCACCACCCCTCTGCTCCTACTGTCACTGGCTTAAAAGGCTAGTGGCTGCTCTAGTAGCCAAAGCAGGTCCCCTGCAGGTCGCTTACACTCCCGAGAGAAAGGCTCTGTGTTCAACTGAAGAGAGGTGTGAAAAGCTTAAGTAGTGTGTGTTGGGGGGAGGGGCTAGACAGAAAAATGGATTTTTCTATTATAGTGTTTCTCTAAATTTCACTGTTTCTAATATATGACTCTTTTCAAATCTATCTTTTCTTTTAGGTAACAGGTTGGAGAAAACCTGTAAAGTCACTCTTTAAAATATTCTTTCCTTTCTCCTTAAAAAAGAAGAGTGTAGAGTTATGACCCTTGATTGAAACATTATGATCACAGAGCAACCTCTCCATCCTCAGGTGGGAACTGTCTTCACCCAAGGGTCTCAGCGCCAAATAGGCCTGGAGGGGGCACTGCATTAGCTTCCCCCAGCGACACTCCAGCCTCAGCTGCATTCATAGGGTCACTGCTCCCAGCACTGAGAAGGGCTGGAGCCAGAGCTGGCCTGGCACCCGGAGAAGTGTGCGGATGGAAAGACCGCAGCCCCAGCGCACCACGGGCCGTCCAGAGGGTGTGAACTATCTGGAAACTGGTGAGGAACGATTCCAGAATTCTCTTATGTTCTGTCTGGAAAAAGACTCCGGGAGACAGGAGGGAGAGGGTAAAGAACTAGCTTCCACTTAGCTCCTTCTGCTCCCCTGCAGCTCTGCTCCCTCCTCTGTCACTCTTCTCTCCCTCCCTCAGACCTTCCTAATTCCCAATTCGATTTTTCAGCTGTGCAAACTGAAGCCCACAGAGGTTAGAGTAAGTCTCCAGTCACAAAGCTGGTGAGTAGGATGAATGCAGATGCTAAAACGCATCTTTACCGCCTCCAAAGCTCATCAGAGGAGGTGGTAGCATTTAATTTTTAGTGATCTTCAAAAAACCTGTCATTTCTCTACATCAGAGTTTGCTCTTTCAAGATTGCTTTCCCATGTATTTGTTGAGATGAATTTGGATAATATTATGCTTTGGCAGGATATGATGGCATAGTTCAGGTCCTTATCCCAAAGCTCTGTTTCTAGTTAAGATAGTCTAAAAGAGCTACACCATCAGCCTCTGATCTCTGCCACCCACCCTCCCACCAGCTTAACTCATTTTCCTTAATTACCAGGCATAGCTGAAGTTTTTTGTTTGGGCTGGTTAGAAAGATGTTGGAAGAAAAATTAAACCGACTTGTAAAGTCTTATATTGCTAATTTGTGGAACAGCACATGGCTTTCCTGGAACTATGGCAGTTCAGTTTCTATAATCATATGGGAACAAAGGTCAACCAAGCTTACTTTTATTAAAAATATATGAAAAGAAATGGACATAAGTCAGATGAATAAGTCCGCAACTGCAGAACACACGACTTCAGTGTAAAACCTTTAGATTTCACTGACAGATCAGGCATACTAGACAGCTGACAGCTTCAACTGCACATTATGCTCTGAAACAGACAGGCAGACAACCTTTACATAAAGGACTCACTGACATGCATGGTAGTGAGAGAGAAAAAAAAGCAAAGAAAAAAGTTACTCTGAGTATCTCTACCCATCCCCAAATCCAAATCTCATTTCCTCAATTTTTTCACTGAAAGGCCAAGAGAGAAGAGCTGCAAAAGCACCCCTGGGAGAAATATGATTATGACGTACAAACTATTATGCTAACACTGGTCTAAAACGTGGAATAAATGTTAGGCCACAGAAGGCTGTTAACCATTCCATGTGTATACAGCCTTCCTACAATGATTGAAACTTCACCTTTAAGAGGAGAGAGTGGGTAAAAGGGATTGAGTTCCTCCAAGTTTGGATCCTGATAGTCTAAGCAGGGGTCCTCAAACTACGGCCCACGGGCCACATGCAAATACAAATATTGTATTTGTTCCCGTTTTGTTTTTTTACTTCAAAATAAGATATGTGCAGTGTGCATGGGAATTTGTTCATAGTTTTTTTTTAAAACTATAGTCTGGCCCTCCAACGGTCTGAGGGACAGTGAACTGGCCCCCTGTTTAAAAAGTTTGAGGACCCCTGGTCTAAGGTGTCTCCAAGATGAGGCTCTAATTCTCTGGGCAATCAGGGGACAGAGAGGGTGAGCTGTATGAATGGCAACAGAGCCACTCCGTGCAGTCAAATCTTACGAGTCCTAGAAGGAGACATTCCTCTACAGACCTGAAAACTGTGAAGAAATAAATAAATGGCTCTGACCAGCGAAGGAGACACCAACGCCCAACCTGTGCTCACACACCTGACCCACAAGAAGGGTCTACCTGCAGAGACCGTCTCTCTTGTTTGAAATTCTAATGATCCTGGTTACATGATTCTAAAAGTCCCAGACACACAATTTCCCAACTCGCGAAAGATTAGAAGCAGCAAATTAAAAGGCTAGAGACAGCTCCACAGAGAGCAGCAAGAACTGACAGCTGACAGAGAGGTAAGGAAGACAATAATTATTTTTTAAAACAAACATATTTC